CTTCTCTTCCACTCTCCTCTTGGGATTTTGGGCATGCATACATATGAGCCTGGTATGATTTTCAAGTCACCAGGTCTAGGACTTGAACTGCAGTTGGTCATGTGGATTTCAGCACCTTAAGCACTAAACCACCTGTAAGCCCCTCAATAGCACTATCGTAAAAGACATCTTCTGGGGCTGGCAGGTGGCATGGTAGTTAAGAGTGATGGACTCCCAGATGGCTGGCCGCAGTTCAAGTCTTGGACCTGGCGGCTTGCTTTCTCACTTTTCATCTCTCTTTCTCTCTCACTCTGTCCCTCTCTGGTCAAATGAAAAATAAATAATTAAATAAAATAATCTTAAAAAAGAAGATATCCTTTTTCCCTATCTTATCTTATAATTTCTTATTTACATTTAATTGTAAGTCTTTGTGGAGCACAACACATATTTTCAAAGCATGTATGCAGTGTGCCATAATCAAAGCAACAATAGTACTATAGTCATTGTTTTCAACAAAGAACATCACATTTGAGATAGAAAATAGCCATCTATCCCTATATAAATGATGGGCAACTTAAAAGACCTAAGTAAATGAAGTGCTAGCTATACCATGCTCATGGATGGAAAGCCTCAATTATACAAGTGTCCATTTTCTTCAAGTAAATCCGTAAGTTCAACCATCAAAATCCCCACAGAGTTGTTTTGTTGTTTCTGTCTAATAAGCTGATTCTAAAATTCATTTGGAAGACTAACACAATTTTGGAAAAGAACAAAGCGAGGTATTTGTTTTACTAGTTCAAAGATTACCATAAAACCATAGAAGTGATACTGACACAGAGCCAGACAAAGAGACCAATGGAACGGAACAGAGAGCAACAAAAGAGACCTACCCATTAAGGAAAACTACATACAAGAAGATGCATTACTGTCAATCAGCAAAGGATGATCATTAAGAACTCCTGGGAAAATTGGTGATTTATATATATATATATATATATATTTTTTTTTCCCCCCCCCAAAAAAAAATTAAAATGCTTAAAAGAACATACGGAAGATGTTCACAATGTTGGGGTAGGAAAATATATCTTAAATAAGATGCCAGACAGTCAAACCAAAAACAAAAGATGGGGTATGCCCAAAATCCCCAAAGGAGGGGGAAATGGAAGAGACAGGATTACTGCGTGAGAGTATTCCCCATGGGGAATCTTTCTGACTTTCCAGCTCTCTTTTTGTCTCTAACATGTGAGTACACCCACCCTCTGGCAAAATTAAAAACAAAAAACAGGGGCTGGCAAGTGGCATGGTGGTTAAAGGCGCTGGACTCCCACATGGCCGACCACGGTTCAAGTCTCAGACCTGGTGGCTTGCTTTCTCACTTCCTCTTTCTCTCTCTGTCTCTCTCTGATCAAACTGGAAAATAATAATGATAAAGTTCAATAAAATAATTCTTAAAAAAATACACCTATAGAAAGGTTATCTCTTTTTTTAATTTTTTTTTGAGAGGTTGTTGCTATAGGTAGTGTGCGCTTACCAGAAAGACAGAGACAGAGAGACAGAAAGTGAGAAATCACCCCCCAGGGGGGATGTCCACACCGCAACCCCTTCTCCTTCATTCTACATGGGAGTCCAGTGGCATAGCCATTATGCCAACTGCCAATCCCCTAGAAAGGTTATCTTTGCACAAATAATTAGAGATACGCAAATTTGAAATAGAGATGCCATTTTATACCTATTACAGAGGTAAAATCAAACTGGCCAGACCAAGTGCCGTCTAGAATGTGGAATAGTAGAAATTCTCAGAGATACCTGATAGGAGTGTAAATTGTGCATTATCTGATAAACCTGACAATGCATGTACCCCACAGCCCAGCCACTCCACTCCTATGTATACAGCCTAGAACCCTTCACTCAGGCAGGAAAGAAGCAAGGAGAAGAACTCAGTGTACTTAGTAAAGGTGGGAAGCAGGCAACAATCTAAATAACCATCCAAAGGACCTGGATAAATACAATGTATGCTAGTCATACAACCAAATACTACACAGTAGGAACAATAAAAAAGACAGAGCTACAAATGTCGGTATGGATACATCTCAAACTCAATGTTGAGCAAAGAAACAAAGTTGCTATTTTAAAATGTAAATAATAGATATCTGTATTATAAAATGTAAACATAGGGACCAGCAGGTGGTGTGGTGGTTAGGGGTGCTGGATGCCCACATGGCCAACCACGGTTCAAGTCCCAGACCTGGCGACTTGCTTTCTCACTCTCTCTCTCTCTCTCTCTCTCTCTCCCTCTCTCTCCCTCCCTCTCTCTCTTGCTCTGTCCCTTTATGGTTAAATAGAAAGAAAGAGAAAGTGGAGGGAAGGAAGAAAAAATAATTCTTTAAAAAAACATAAAAATATACAAGACCTTGGTACTGTTTGGGGTCCATACACTTGTAGAACAAAGACAAAGATATACAGGAGAATAATATATCTAAATTCAGATAACGACCTCTAGAGAGGGAGGAAAGAAATGATCATTGAGAGAACAATAAAAATCACTCTTAAAACCACTGCCTCCAGGACCAGCAGTTGGCGTAATGGCTATGTCGCTGGACTCCCATGTGGCCGACTGCGGTTCGTGTCCCAGACCCCGTGGCTTAAAACTCACGCAGGGCACGTGTGTGTGTGCCCAAGATTCTGAGGAGAGAATGGAGGAGAAGGGATTGTGGCGTATCCCCCCGGGGGGGTGATTTCTCGCTGTCTCTCTGTCTCTCTCTACCTGTCTGGCAAGCGCACATGTTCTATAGCCAAAACCTCTCAAAAAAAAATAATAAATAAAAATAAAAAAAACCACTACCCCCCAACCCCATATGTTACTATCAAGTTCCACTGGGGTAGATGAGGCATCTTCAATGAAGCCAGGCTTTTCAGATGAAGGTCTCAGAAAGTATTCAACACATAAAGGAAACTCCTCTTCAATACCTGGGGCAAAGGGTCCTATGACCTCTCTGACAAAACCTGCCAAGCAGGACCCCCCAATATGGTCATGCAAGTTCATGACACAATTCTGGACCGCACATTGCACGATAAAGAATGCCTGCCGGGGAACCAGCAGTTAGCGTAATGGCTATGTCGCTGGACTCCCATGTAGTCGACCGCGGTTCGTGTCCCGGACCCGGTGGCTTAAAACTCACGCCGGGCGCATGTGCGTGCGTGCCCAAGATCCCGAGAGGAGAATGGAGGAGAAGGGATT